AAATCGACCCATGTTTTTATGCAGCAAAACACGCAGTTGTTAATGTGAACCAGTGGATTGATAAAAAGCTAATATGCTTAGTAAAAATCAGAACGAGACCGTAAGATATATTTGTTTTAAATTAATATAATAATTTATACTTTTGACTCATCCCTTATTACAAATTGGTTTACAGGCTGAAATGTGAAGCTTATTTTATGTAATTTTGTTTTTGTGAAAACCTGTATCTGAACTCTAAGCATTTTATTTTTATTTTTTGTGATTTTACAGTTTAATATGTTGCCATAGACATTGCCCTACCCCATTCATACGGTATTCATTTTATTTGTGCAGCTCTTTAAAAAGTTTGATTTTAAAAATCCTGCAGATACCCTGGAATAGGGCTGCACGATATATCATTTCAGCATTGATATCGCGATGTGCGCATGTGCAATAGTCATATCGCAGGATGTGCGATGTTTAGTATAGGCTACTGATTGTTATATTTATACTGATTGTTTTCTTTGCTCACACACAGACACGGTGTCTACACCAGATGTGACAGCTGTACATAGATATACATTTAGTAGCAGAGCTACTGCACGCGATTTTTCAGTTCTGGAAATCCATTTATCCTGTTGAAACTTCCGCGTCGTCGTGGAGCGCAGGTCACGGTTGCTTAGCAATGGCAGACGCCACAAAAGCGCAAGCTCCCGAGCGCTTTCAAAAAGGAGAAAGCGGCACGACTGGCATTTTCCCACGTGTTTTTAGGCGCGACATGTGAATGGCCCCAAAGTCTGTCAACACTGGACGCGACAAAGCGACCGTTGCCAATCATTTGAACTTTGTGTCAGTACGTCATAAAGTGAATGCAGCATCAGCTTACTGTCGGGGATTTGTCGTGCCACATCGCATCCAGTGTAGACGGACAGCATCACTGATTATTATGGGTTCATTGTTTTTTGTCGCGTCGCGCCGCTCGCGTCCGGTGAAGACATGGTGAGAGCCCCACAGATGCACGTGAACACTAATTTCTGTTCACTTCTGCATCTATTTGTGCCTGAAATACTGTGCTCTGCAAGTATCCTTGTAAGCACAGTTGCTTAGGTGAAGGGAAACAATTGAGAAAGAAAATGGATGTGTAACAGTATATTTGTTTACAGCAGTTTAATGTTCCTGAGTCTTCCTGTATTATGAATTTTGATCAAACAACAAAACAAAGAAAAATCACTTCTGTAGCTTTAACAGATTTATTAGATTTAATTTATACAGTGAAGACTATGCAGTGTTATTTTACATTTGATTATTCAATTTCTGTACCTGAATACTGTTAGACTTACCTGAAAAATATAAAGCACTGCTTATTTCATTTGTATCGTTGTTCTGTTATTTGACTATGCTTGTAACATGTTTATTTCCTATTCTGATTTACTCACCTACAAAATCACCCCAATCATTGATTTTTTTAATTGATTTTTTTCCCAAATAAACTATTCAAGTCATGTGGTGTTTTTTTCGTACTTTATCGCAATATATATCACAGAAAAAGAAAATATCGCAATGTGAGTTTTTTTCCAATATTGTGCAGCCCTACCCTGGAATAATCAGTCAAAACCTACTGATTCATCTGTCAAATAATCCGTGATTAATTGTTCTAATAATCATTAGATTAATCAATTATCAAAATTATTTTGTTGCAGCCCTGAAATGACCGAACAGACTCCAGTTACCTTTCCTCTCCCGGTGTTAGTGGTCTTCCTGTGTAGGATACGAGTTATTGATGTTCTTCCTGGGGGGGCCGGACTGAATTATTTTCTCTGCGCGCTAAACAAATGTTCTCCTAAAGAGGTTTGCAGGGCTTAATGAGGCAGCACTAATGCGGTTGCGCTTCACCGTCTCTTGTGCACAGGGGCCACTGGGGGCCGCACAGAGCCGCCATTGATTCTGGCTCCAGACCACTTCAGGGACTAATCAGCTTCTTTTGGTTCAGCTTTTTAGGCCCGGCAGCCCATTGTGGCCCTGTGTCACCTTAGGTCAGTAGTTATTAGAGCAGCAGAGTTTCTTTAACCGTTCGGGACGGAGCCGAATGAAACGCACAAGGAACCTGGAGGAGGGATTATGGATTCCTCAGGAAGATTGTGAGCTGCGTCAGTAATGAGGGATGCTGATGTCCGCCTCTCTTCTGTAGATTTTGGGAGGCGTTTGTAGGTGAGCTGGTTTACGGTCATGCCCAGGTTACAGCCGTGTTGTTTGTAGCATTCAGGAGACGTTAGACTAGTTTTGATGGTGACGAGTGAAGTGGAAATCAAAGAATGAGCTGGCCTTTGCATTTCAAAGCCACTTCAGCTGAAATCTCATTATTTGTGCTGCTGGATTTGAGATCTTTGTGGTTTCAAATGAAAGATTAGGGTTGCTGTGGTCTTGGTAAACCAGAAAATATCAGGGAATGGTGAAAGTGATCATCCAAGCCTCAAATAAATCATGAAGTTTAATAAATTGTGGAAATATTTTTAGCTAAATATACAAGTTTGAGGTCGGTGAGATTTTATTTTTTTTACATTTTTGAAGTCTCTCTAGCTCAACGAGGCTGCATTTATTTGATCAAAAAACAGTGAAATATTACATTCCAAATAACTGTCTATTTGTATATATTGTAAAATGTCATTTATTCCTGTGATGTAAAGTTGAATTTTCAGCATCATTCCTCCAGTCTTCAGTGTCGCATGATCCTTCAGAAATCATTCTAATATGCTGATTTGCTGCTCAAGAAACTTTTCGTATCAACAGTTATGCTGCTTCATATTTTTGTGGAAACCATGATTTTTTTTTTTTTTATAGAAATTTCAAATGAAAAACATTTATTTGAAATGGGGAAACCTTTTGTAACTTTTGTAAATGTCTTTTGCTGTCAGTTTTGATCAATTTAATGCATCCTCGCTAAATATATTTAGAAAAATTTGAATAAAAAATATGAAATTTAAATATATATTTTATATAAAGGATATATGTTGGTTTATTTATTTACTTATTTTAACATTATCCAGTCCTCACAAATGACTGGAAATTAATCATTAATTCATGGAATGTCTGGCAAAAAAATGTGAATTTATTTTATGTATTTTAATATGTATTTTTCTAGATGTGCTCTGGAAACATTTAAATCGATAGGAATTGTGCTTTTTATCAGGACTTTTTTTTTTTTTTTCTTCTTGCTCCGTTTGTGATTTTTCTGAAGCTTCCTGAAGACTTTTTTTCTCTTCTGTGTGACCATTGTGTTTGCTGACGAATTTGCTCTGATCTCCACAGATTCCAGCATGGAGCTCACGGTTGGGATCGGGCTATGCAGTCCCAGAGCACTGCGTACCAGCAGAACCAGGAGAGAGGACGAGGAGGATGGAGACCCCCTCACAACCAGCAGGACAGCCGCGGGGGAGGACATCAGCAGGTCTGACCGCCTCCTGATCATTTCAGTGAAAACACACAGGCATAAAACCTCATGCTCATGGAAAGCTCTGCTTGTCTTTCAGGGGTTTGGGCAGGGTTATGGGTTACCTCCACCGTCACAACGCTACAACTGGAACTGAACTCTCAGCCTTATATGAAAGAAGGCTTCTTTTTTTTTTTTTTTCAAGTAAACATTGTCTTTTTTGGGCTGTTGATTTGTAAAGTTTTGTTTTTCTTGTTTTACTGACAAAATGTTCTTATGTACTGCTTTTTAAGTATATGCCTGTAAAACTTATGAAATACACATAAGAGACAAGACTGCGGAGTTTCGCTATTTTCTTTGTGTTTGTGTTTTATTAAAAATTCATTAGATTTCCGTTTTAATCATTTATTTTAATGCAGATCCATTTATAAACTCCCAATGCATAGCTGTGGTGAGCGGAGTCCGTTTTTGTGTTGTATTTGAATCTTTAAATGAATATTAATTTATAGATGCAGGTGGAAATTGAGAGCGTTTAAAATTAGTCTTGAATTAATTAATGGATTAAACCATAATAATACACAGTCGACTGGAATGCGTATCCATGAGTAAATCTGCTATTTTTAAAAAAGCTTTCCTTTTATTTTTGACCTATTAGAATATATATATTTTTTTGTTTTGGGTTTTTTTTTTTAAAGTAAAATCGACCAATGCAAAAGGTCAGTATACACGCATTTAACATATGTAATAATTTTGGAAACAAACTAATTCGTTCTTATTGTTAAATAAGGAAATGCATTTAATTTGCTATATATATATTTATTTAACTTTGCTCTCAACATTTATAGCAAATAAAAGTACTACAAAATATCGGTGTTTATGTCCTAATTGTATCTAAATCGCCTCCGATAAGCTCTTTAGCAAGCGTTTTACACAATTAAATTCAGTGAAATTTCACTCAGAAATGCTAGAACATTTCACAAGTAATTACCAAGAAACGGTACTTAACACTGAATTAAACGTGCAATTTTGAAGTAGAAATAGTTTTTTTTTTTATTTGCGACTTCGTGGGGAAAAAAACTATTTTAGCGTATATTCAGTCTAACCTTTTAGATTTCCTTGGTCTAATTTATAATTACTATAAATAATGCTATATTTCTCTCTCTCTTTTAAGCTAGTATTTTTAGACCTTTAATGCATAATAATTGCTGCTCGGTTTGAGGAACAAAAATGATTTAATACTGAATTCAAGTGGTTCTTTCATAGTTGCAGCACTCATATTTATTTTGTTTCCTTTTAAACTTACAAAAGACTTGGAGAAAGCATTCTTTGTCCAGTGTTAGATATGTACACAAAACATTTCTTCATCTACAGCTTGTATTTTACAAAGCAACAAAACTGATGTCGGATTAATGGCATCACGCTAAACTAGTCTTCATCACACACTCCTCCTCCTCCTCATCCGCTGGAGAGATTTTCATTCAATAATGATTTAAAGTTACAATCCATACAATTCACGTGAGGGTCCGCGCACCGCTGCATCAGACGAGTGCCGTTTAAAAAAAATGAGTTATTAAAAAAAAAGTCTTAAATGCAATTATCGTTCCCGTCCGTTGCAGTATCCTCCCATGGCGCTGTGCGAGAACTGCGAGTGCGGCATGTGGTAGGTGTTATGGCTCATGCTGTGCTGCTGCAGGTTCGCCTCAGACACCTGAGTCTGTCTGTACAGAGGAGACGCCAGGCACGCGCTGCTCTCCATGGCTGCAAACTTCTTGAAGGTCTCCTCGATCGGGCTCAAAATATCGCTCACTGAGAAAGGCGTTGAGTGTTTTGGGCTGAAGGACATGGTTCAGCCCGCGAGCGAGTTTGCTGAAGCTGCCACAAGCCCGTGGATGTGCGCGCGACGTGTCCGCCGTGCGTAACCGCGTTCTCTGAAGTCCGAATGTGCGTCCTGGAGAAAGAGGCGAGCCCTGGACGCTCTTATTTCTGCCTTATTCCCGTCAGACTGCGGGGTTACGACAAACACGGGGGGCGGAGCGACGAGCCAAACGAGCCATCGACATCCCAGTAATTGCAGAAAATACGCAAAGAATGCCAACGGCTCCGCTCGCAAATTTGTATCATTTTGAGCTTCCAAGTGGCGTCAGCTTTTTTTTTTACATCAATCTATAGCTTTGGCATTTTGATAAGTGGCGCTCACAATCTGAATTCTCCTCCAAACATCGGAGATTTCTCTTTATATGAACTTGAGAACTCGGTTTGACATGCAATGCGCAGGAATCGGACGCTCAGGTTGTACCATGTCGCTTGTGATGCTAGTTTATGCTAAAATCACAAGGATGTGACATTTATTTGCTTTGAAATTACGGCACCAACCATCAAAATGAACTATAATTCAGTGCGTTCTTATTCAACCGAGAAAAAACCTTTGAGCTAAACAAAGCCTAAACTATGTCTTTTCGATAAGTATGCAATAATTGTAAACGTTATCAAACTATTCTTAAAACACATAAATGGTTTAGTAAATTATACACGCGTTTTGGTGTTTTTATTACAAGATCTGGTAACATATTGAAAATCTGTGGCTAGAAATGTGTATGCAAATTGAGGACCCTTTAACCCTGCAGAATATGAAGTCAGAGGGCATGGCCAACAACCACAAAACACAGCCGTGTGTTTCCAGCCCCACAGTCCGCAGAGAGCAACGTGCAACTAAAATAGCAAAGGAAAAAGTTTCTAAAAAGAGAATATTCGTGCATTTCCTGCATTCATTGCCTTGGATTTCTGCAGGAGTCAAAGGCAGAGGTTCGAAACGAAAGCTCACAAATACACAGGTAATCAATCAATATGTGCTAGTTTATTGTAGTTTAAGAAATGATCTGGACGAAAACACAAAGCAAAGCATGTTTCACTGGATGCTTCCCAGCAGCGGGTTAGAATCGAGTTTATTCGAATTCCTTCCTGATCATCTGTTTTAGTTTGCTAAGGTCTTAACGTCGCACGTTTTGATATTCAGATGAGTTCATATGGAAGAGGATTAAACCTTGAAAACGTTGTTTTTTTTCGTAAACGAACGAATAGCTATTCCCGATGTTTATTTGGCCGTGTAAATCTACATATTATAAGCACGCACGATAAAAGAATTGAGATTCAGAAAAGGTGATGTTTTATTTATTCAACCACAACGCTGGAAATGCAGACTAAAGCATGTTTAAAACGCCACCGCAAATAAGTCCTGAAACAGTTGCATTATTTCCACGTAATGTCATGAAACATTTGGAGAGGTCAGGAACGCATGGCGCGCCGCGCCTGTAACGAGGTTCATAAATCGCACGGGTTATCTACATTTTGAAACACATGCAGACCTGAAAGGACTTCGTTTTTAGGTGTGTTTGATATGAGAAATAAATTGTAGAATTTTGTGCAATTTAACAGAACGGTTTTCTGAAAAAGAACGATTTTAATTGATTGCGTCAGATACGAGGAGAAGAAACAAACTCTCACGAATTGTTAGTACTCTATTATTTTTGTTTCTTGTGTTTTTGATCATTTGTATATGTAAAAATATGTCAACCGTGACTTTTTGTCATCACAGCCGAGGTTAATTTTCTGTGCGTCATTAAATCATAAATCAGTTTTTGAATATTTGTGTCTGAGAGGTCCAAATCAGAAAGCAGAAAATGACTTTTCTTTGTTTAATCCCCTTCATTTGATCCTCCAAAGGCTTGTGCACGGTGCATCTCCAGGTGTACATGTGGCACAGTGGCGCTCTTGAGGACGCATTCCAGCCTGTGATGAGGTGAAAGGTCCAACGCAAGTGACAGAGCACTTAAACAGCCTTTCTTCTGCTGCCTCCCGCAATTAATGTCATTGAAGGACTGAAATGATGCTAATAGTTAGGCAGAAAGCCTCTGGCTGTGTGGAAACACATGCATCTACTCAGTTTGCCATTGCATTTTAGTCATCGCGTTTATAAAATGTGTAAGTTAAGCAGAATTCCCTGCAGTGATTTCAAATGAGGTACGGTCTGAATGAATGATAATAAAATCATTAGTTTTAATGCCTCTACATATTTCTTTATGAGCTCCGCGAACAGATTTGTTTGTCTTAATTTGGACTTGTAGGCCTTCGGTGCTTAGACTCGATTCTATATCTTATTAAATTGTAAAAAGACCAAATATGGTACGTTATTTCTAAACGACTATTCGTCATCAATTACGTAAAGGTTTATTATATATAAAAAAACAAAATTAAAGATGGAGAGCATGGCAAATGCTTTCAAATAAAATCCTTTTTTAACTCTTTAATCTATTTGATCACTTCCTTGCAGTTTGGGTAAGAAGCTATTTAAAAGTTTTCGATTAAAGCCTGTTCTGATTTTTTTTTTTAAAGAGGATTGCATTTTATTTCCCTTGGTTGTTTGTTCACATTAAATGTGGGCTGTTTGCTGCGTATCTTTACAAAAACTAAAGCCTAAAGACCGTAAAACTCTACAGACCACTTACGATGTTTAGAAAGTTAAATACAGGATTTCACGACCAGATGAGCTGCTGTAATTCTATACAGTTCCTTATCGATCATGTTTTTTTTTTCTACAGAACTCCAAATGTGGCCATTCTTTGCTCGTACATGTGCACAGTGCATGTTTATTATTCTTAAATCTATAAAACATGCAATAGAGTATAGAATTATATACCATAGGCTATATGTACAAATTATATAAAGCTTTACAAATAAAGTGTGTTTAATATAGTCAACAAACAAATCATCTCCACTGTAACGTTGTTTTAGAATATCTCGATGTCGCCAGTGTCATCTTTAAAAATGAGGCTGATTATTTGTTTATTAAAAATGCACAATATCCACTGTGACTTCTCAAGTAAAACACGAACGTCCATGTTAAATAAACACATCTTCTGTATATTCAAAGAGTACATTTGTATTTGTATTTTATTCAGGGTAGTGAAATAGAATGTTTATGGCTAAATCATATTTATGCTTAAATCAAATAATACATAATATGAGGTTTTTGATGAATTAAATAGCTTTCAGTCGCGAAAAGTTGCGATGGTTGCCCCTCTTAATTTAAGCTTCCGTCACGTGAATTAGAAATTAAGATTTCATGAAACTTTGCTGTGCAAGAAGAAACACTAAACCGTAAACACACCATATCGACATTTTCCAGTATTTTATATTAAGGAAAATTGTACTGAATTATATGTATTATTGCATGGATAAAGAATCCGTGATTGTGGTGATGAATTCATGTGTGATAATTGTGATATGTGATAATTATGTTGTTGTTTTTTATAGAACGCTTTCATTGTATTTCTCTCACTTTGTAGCCAGTATGTTTTCCAAGTAAAATAATTGTACTGTGTCTAAGTAAATTACGCTATAATGTTGTTGTAAAATTATGTAAAATATATGTAAAATTCTTTTTTTTTTTCATCTGCCAAGAAATTACGCCTGTTAATTTACATTATAAAATAAGGACACTAAACCAACTTGCAGTAAAAGCTTTAAGGGAAATCTTGTACAATTTTATCCAACCATACTGTCTGTAAATGTATGAAATATTTGAACAAGAAATTCGACAAATTATTCATATAATTTATATGATGATAAGATGTTTACTTATTTAAATATACATCTTACAAATTAATCTATGTAAATATTCTTCCAAATATATCCGAAACAAAATGTAGGGTTTTTAGGCCATGTTCTCTGTTGAATTCACATCTGACCTCTAATCTCCTCCCCCTCTTCAGCTGAGCTTTCCATCGGTTCTTTCTCACATACCTACCCACCTTCTCTCCCTCTCTTTGTCCTTCCTCTTCCCCCTTACCTAAAGCAGCAAATCTCTCATGCTCTCTCTCTCGGGTTTAAATGAGATGAGCAGGAGGCCAGGCAGCTGAGCTCCTGCAGCATTTGAAGAGGCGACCCACTCTGCCCACTTTAAAGACTCGGTTCAGACCACCTGGCATCCCCACAGCTGACCCATATCACCCCATCAAACCAGTCCCTGCATAGAGTTTATTTTTTATTTTTTTCTAATAAGTTTGCTGTTCAGGTTGTATTTGGTTTGGTTTAAACTGTAGTCAATATAATTAACTTTATATATATTTTAAAAACGAAAATAGAAGTCTATTGAATATTTCCTCATTTTGATTAGACTATACAGTAGTTATTTTTGCCAATATTATATGCTAATGAATCATACCAATAAAGTAGGATACACTGAATTGGAGACAGATATATAGACATACAGGTAGACAGATAGATAGATAGATAGATAGATAGATAGATAGATAGATAGACAGACAGACAGACAGACAGACAGACAGACAGACAGACAGACAGACAGATGATAGATGATAGATAGATAGATAGATAGATAGATAGATAGACAGACAGACAGACAGACAGACAGACAGACAGACAGACAGACAGACAGATAGATAGATAGATAGATAGATAGATAGATAGATAGATAGATAGATAGATAGATAGATAGATAGATAGATAGATAGACAGACAGACAGACAGACAAAAATATATACAGACAGACAGATCGATATATCCAGTCCCTGCATAGAGTTTTTTTTTTTTTTTCTTCTAATAAGTTTGCTGTTCAGGTTGTATTTGGTTTTATTTAATCTGTAGTCATTATAATTAACTTTATATATTAAAAAAGAAACTAGAAGTCTATTGAATATTTCCTAATTTTGATTAGACTATACAGTAGTTATTTTTGCCAATATTATATGCTAATGAATTATACCAATAAAGTAGGATACACTGAATTGGAGGCAGATATATAGACATACAGGCAGGCAGGCAGACAGATAGATAGATAGATAGACAGACAGACAGACAAACGATAGATAGAGAGACAGACAGACAGACAGACAATGGATAGATAGACAGACAGACGATAGATAGATAGACAGACAGACAGACAGACAGATAGATAGATAGATAGATAGATAGA